TACCCCACCTTGGACAATCTCTCAACGCCTTGATGCGATCGAGGGAAGGTTGAATGACTTCAGTGGGACTATGCAGCTGATGAAGCCGATGGTCACCTGGATCTTCGAGAGGACTTTTCCAAGAGAATCTTTCCTTGAAGTGCCACCACATTTCGCCTCTAGACCATCCATTTCTGCTCCCACTGTCTCGACTGTTGTAGAGGTGGAGGAGTCTGTTGATGAGGAGTATGATGACGAGGATGAGACTGGATGAGGAGGAGGAGGAGTAGAGAGAGCCTACTCTCGTTTTGTTGATTTTGGTTGATTGTACATAGTGGAAGATAGTGGTTTAGTGTTATTCGGCCTAATAGAAGAGTCTCTAGGATCACAGGACGTTTTGTCTTAAGATCTTTATAATGAACCTCATACAATTATAAATGAAAGAACCACTTTTTGTTTGTTTCATTTTGCCCCAAGTTCATTTACATAATTGCATTATGATTTGAGTATTTTCTTGATCTGTGAATTGTTTCACATGAATGAAATTATTTTTTTTATGTAGTATAGGTTGAAAATAAAGTTTACTAGGGACTAACAAAACTCAAGTTGGGGGGGTATGATGAGTATAAAATATTGCACATCATGCATCTCTCTTGCACCCATTTTACTTGTTTTGTGGTGAAATTTGGGGGAAATGATTTCAAATTTAGAATTAAAGAAGATTTGTGTGATTATAGATAAAGAGCGGGTAAGGTCATGAATAAAACACCCCATCAAGTGCTCAAAGTCAATGGGGAAGAAGGGACCGCTTAACAGATGGCTTAGGACCTCAAGGAATCAAGAAAATCCCAAGGCAGGACAACATCTACTGGTAGAAGACATTCAAGACATGATCTAAAGAATGTCAGACACGTGTACGAAATTAAAATTTTATTATTTAATTATAGACACAGATAAAAAAATATCGAACACATGTCTGAGAGTGTTAATGTCCGACACGTATTTAACACAGATACATCACCTTCTTAAGAGTGTCCGTGCTTCATAGTTTATGATAAGGGTTGTCAAGGTATCCATAGTTGCCTTTTGGTGGGGCTAAGATTTCCATAGGAAAAAATATGGGGTGTAATGATTACACCACGTCATCATGCTAACATGATGTAAATATCCACTAATAAGATAACAAGTGGACAAGTGGATCACAGATGGAATTGTTATTACATGACATAGATTGGTAATTATTTAATTATGTGGGATTCACTTACTCACTTGTTATTTTATTAGTGTATAGTTATACCGTGTCAGCGTGATGATATAGTGTAACCGTTACACCCAATATTTACTCGTCCATAGTTGTTGTCATTAAAGAGATTGATACTTGAAGAAAATCTATTGATACTTGGAACACATCTAGTCGCGAATTATATGCTTTAACTTTATCACTTAGTTAAGCATTAGTAACCATCAAGATGAAATAGTATTTTTTTTAAAAAAAAATTGCCAATTTTTGGGCTAAATTATAATTTCAGGATACTTTGTGATCAAATTATAAATTTAGAAACTTTTGGGGATCAATATTGTAACTTTAGAAACTTAAGGGGTCAAAACTATAATTTTAGAAATTTCTGTGGCTAAATCTATAATATTAGAAAATTTCAGTAGCAATCTTTCAATTTTAAAAACTTAAGGCGCAAAACTATAATTTCAGAAATTTCTAGGGTCATTTCTGTAATATTATAAACTTATGAGATGAACACGTAATTTTTAAAGTTTTGGGGGTGTGTCTATAATTTCAAAAGTTCAGGGGTTTGGTACTGTTGGGCTGGGCTTATTTTAATTTTTTGTTTTGGGCTGGATAGGAAGACAGGTTGGTGTATTTGGTCTTTTTGAGGGAAACAAGTCACGTCGGAGTAAAAGTTAAGAAAATTTGGAGATTGATCCCCTTTTGTTGAATTATTTGGTGATAAATTCATCAATAAAACTTATTTAATATTAAGTTTATTTTGATCTTTATTGTCTAAAATACCCTTAGTAATTTTGTTTAATTAAAAAAAATTTAAAAACTAACTTCTTGACCAATATTAAAATTCTATCTCTCATACCTATCTATATCCATATATAAAATAAAATTATTTATTTCTTTGTCTCATATATATGTGTGTGTATATATATACACACATATAATAACATTAAACAAAATAGTAACATTTAAAACATAAAAAAATAGTACCATTCAAACACAAAAAATAGTATCATTTAAATACAAAAAAGTAGTAACATTTAAATACAAAAAAATAATAATATTCAAAAAAAATAATAATAACATTGAGTATTAATATTTAAAAAAATAACGGTATTAACAAGTTCAATAAAAATAGTAACATAAATAGTAACATGCCCAGTAAAAATAATAATATGAACAGTAACATGATATATATATATATATAGATATATAGTGAGAGAAAGAAAGTATCAATTGTTCTTTTAATTTGAATTTCAAATATATGTAAAAAAATTTATTAGCATACTTTCATTGATAGTAAATTAAAGAATAATAATTCTCGATTTATAAAACTAATTTAAAATTGCTTTCAATGATAGGTATTTTGGAGTTTTAAAAAAAATAGTGGATTTAATTACTTATTAGTAAGATTAAAAATAGACTAATCTCAAATAAATTTGGGATAATTCGAGGTGTATATTTTTTTTAGAATTTATTTGATTTTAAGTATCACCTCAAAACTTATATTCCATTAAGTCCTCTTTTTCATCAAATAGTTGTCAATAAGTGCATATTTTAAATCATTTCAAATTCTTTTTGAAATGTATTTCATAATTACCCTCAGTGTTATTTAAGGCGTAAAGCGAACCGAAGCGACCAAGGCTCCTAACGCCTAGGCGAGAAGCGAGAAGCGAAACGAACAGTTAAAAAAAATAAAATATTTTAGTTTAATTACTTCTAACATCTAAGTTCTACTTTTATATATACTAAATATTTAAATGCAAGTAAAACCATAAACATTTAAATTAAAACGAATACTAATAATATCTCAAATCTTAACAACAATCATAGCTTAAACATTTAAATTCAAACAAACACTAATAATATCTCAAATCCTAATATTTAAAAATATAAGACATATAATTCAAGCAACTAAAGAAATCATTTCAAGGATTTAGAAATCAATCCTCATCACTAAAGAAATCATCTTCTTCATTATCATTAGATTCATATTCCTCTGTATCATCCCCCTCTGCCTCATCTAAAATTATGTCTTCCTCATCTATGAGTCCAGTGTCGATCTTGTAAACCTTGGTATTACCATAGTAGATGGTGTTGATCTAGCATGTTGGCTACTTTCCTGAACTCCAAAAGCTTGAGCAACTTCACCACAAGTCAAAGTATTATCACAAAACACAAGCTCATTATCTTCATCTGTTTTTGCATCCATTCTCCCAATCAACCACTCATTGCTATCATCAATATCCTTCAAAGATATTGGATCAATTGTGTCACGGGAATCATATCGGCGTCTCAAAGCTATATTATATTTAACAAACACCAAATCATTGAGACGGGATTGAGCTAGTCTATTTCTTTTTTTTTTTGTGTGTATCTGTAATAATTTATTAACAATACATTAAAATTTATAATAAGATAAAAAAAAATTGTAATTAAAGAGGTTTGAGGATGATACTTACATGCTCAAACACACTACAATTTCGCTCACAATCGGATGCACTACAAGTATGGCTTAAAACTTTTTTTGCAAAGTTTTGCAAATTTGGAGTTGCAGACCCGTATGCACTCCACCAATCAACTGTGAATAATGAATAACAATTAATTAACTAACATCTTTAAGCAATGATAATGAAATAAGCTTGTGGGATAACATAGATTATCTGGTGCCCTCGTTGTTCTTTGTCTAACCGTCATGGGCAACTTAAAGAGGTTTTCACATTTCATGTAAATACTCAACTCTTGACCAATTTTATCTTATATCGCAGGATTTGGGACCAACCTTTATAAACATTTGTATAAGTCATTCATGACTTCTTGATCTTTCTCAACCTCTAGATTGGAATAGAAAAACTCTGGGTTCAAAAAATACCCAGCTACATGCAAAGACCGATGCAATTGAACTTCCCACTTTTCGATCAATGATTTCAAAGATGTGTTTGTACTTCTCTTCATTGTCATTAAAAGAATTAGCAATCGCTTCTTTAGTCTGGTACATAGTTTCATAAATGTACCCCCATGGGCGGCTTCTTCTCACCATCAACCGATTGAAGCACACAAACAAGAGGGCCTGTAAGCTTAAGAGAGTAAACAACATTACTCCAAAATGAAGGCATTAAAATAATTTGTGCTATGATTTACCCTTCCAATAAATATTGCCTATCATTGTTAGATTCAATGTTTTCAAATAGAACAACTCCTAATTTGAAAATTATTCTAACATTAAAATTATTTTTTCTATCATATATATATACATATGTGTGTGTGTATGTGTGTGTGTATATATATATATATATATAGAGAGAGAGAGAGTAACATTAAACAATAACACACTCAATAAAAAAACAGTAACATGTTCAATATAAAAATTTAATCATTACAATAGAGTGACACCATATATGGGTATTTATTCTGTTGTGAAGGTGTCACTCTATTACAATGATTAAATTTTTTAATTAAGTTTTTATTGATCATGTTATTGTTTTTTTGTTAAGCGTGTTACTGTTTCATATATATATAAATTGTTAATACTAATACAATTCTCAATTTAAGAGTTATAATTTTTTTCAAATAAGTTTTGATTAAATATAATTGAGAGTATTTTGAATAATAGAGATCAAAATATACTTATTTTCAAACAAATTTTTTGAGTGTACTTGAACTCAAATAAGTCTATAAAAGAAACCGGCTTCCAAAGCCCCTATCATATTTCCTTGGGAACTAAACTCATTATAGTCTTGTAAGAGGCCTCACCCAATTTTCACTAAAACTTGTAACCCACCTGACAACCTTCTTCTGGGCACGGTTGAAGTAGAAACCCAGAAATCAGCGAAAACGTCAAGGTGATACAACGGCAGCAGACACGACGAGGAGGTGCGAACTCTTTCCGGTGAAGAGCACCGACGACTGACGACAGAAAAAAGAAGGAACTGCGGACGCAACTCCAACAGCCAACGAACGATGTCGATGATCGGATGGCGATATGATTGGGATTTGGTCTGTTTTTTTGGCTATCAAATGTGGTCCGATTTTTATTTTGCTTTATTTAATCCTTACGAAGGCAATGGAACCATTCAACTAATCCTCTCTCTCCCAACCTTAAACTAAAAGATTAAATTCTATCCTACACTCAGCGTACAGTCCTATGGGACATATATTTACCACGAAGTGAATAAGAATGAAAAAAAATCACAAATTAAGATGAAACTTGTGAAAATACCTTTGAATTTTGTCGAACGCCATTTCGGTTTGCTCGAGCACAATTTCTTTCACGGCGTAGATCTTTTGATCAAGTTTTTTGCGGCATTTGACCACAAGCCCGAATCCGCCTTCTCCTACATCAAAAATCGAAAAAAAAAAAAAATTTAATTCACAAGATATACACGCATTTCTATTGCAAACATAAAACATGTATGACAGACAAGGCGGCCCATACAGAAGGCCACTAAAGGACGGACTTTAGGCCCAACTAAATAAGAGGTCTCAAATTTTTAAATCTATATAACATAATCTATACCAAAAATTTAAACATATAAAAATTTAGTTCAACAAAATATTCAATTAAAATTTCAACCAACAAAAAAACTTAGTTAAATGATTTGGGTCCAAAAGTCTAGCCCAATGACACACAAAATTAAATTTGACAAAAAAATAATAAGGTTGAAGAGATACAAAAAATAGTGTGCATTAGACATCCCTAGTCGCTCTCTCTCTTACATACGCGTGTTCTCCTTTTAGCTATATTTTTGTCCTTATGTAAAATTAAAACACAAATTAAACTATTTATTTTCATCATCTCTCCCTTTTAATACCACATTCTATTTTTTTTTTAACTATTATGAGTACAGTACTTTTTTAAATAACTAAAAACATAAAACATTAATCTACACGACGGCGAAGAAATCGCAGAGACTATGATCGTTTCAAGATGCGTAAACACTTTGATCTTTTAAATGAGAAAAGGCACAATAAGGCCGATCTTAAGACCGTAAGGACCCCAATTAATTTTTAGCCCTTAGTTTAGCTTCATATTCTGAGTTCATTTTGAATAGATCTAGTTTAAGGTCCAATGTATTTCACAATTCTAGATAAAGTATTAGAAAATCCTAAAATATAACAATATTTTTATAAGTCTATGTAAAGTTTTATAGAAAGCCCTAAATTGTAATAAAATCTTCTAAAAAAAATCTGAAAGTAATGACTTCTAGTGTTATAACTAACACTGTTTCTCAAATTCCTTTCACACTTTTCTCTTCCACTCTCACTGCCTCTCTCCAAATCTTTATCTCCCTCTCATTCTAATTGTATTTCTCTCTCTTTGTCCTTATCTCTAACTATTTTGTTCTCTCTTTAAGACTCCAATTAATTTATTCATGTGTAAGATCCTGACTTCATAATTGCACTCAATTAATTTATTTCTTCAAAGTTGGTCAAGAATCTAGACTCTTCTCCATGCACAGATGTTATCGATCGACAAATCACTTTACCAGTCACCGGACAAGAAATATCCATGTCATCAGCGTCGGGCGACGATGTGGACATTCTGTTTTCAGATTCTATGAAGTGTGATCACACAAAGAGATTAAGAACTTTTCACACTCTGTAATTCTATACATTACTCTCTACTCTCTCTTAATTGTAGAATTCTCTCTCAGTTTCGAGTCTTATGAGGTCTGAGAAGAATTTGAATTCTGGCGCCTTATATAAGTCGACTTCACACCAAACGCTCCGGATAATGCACTTTAGTTAGCACATTTTACAGGCGCCAAATAAAATAATAATAATAAATTAAACCCCACCCAAAACTGAACTCGAACCCAAATCTAGGCTCAAAACCAAACCCAACTCGAAACACTAAACCCATTAGGCCCACCCGCACCCCACCCTCGTCTTCCTCTCTGTGTGCAGTTCTCGCTTGCAGATCAGATAGGGCTCAATGTTTGAATCTGACTTGGGGTTGGTGATTGCAAACCTTGTTGTGATGACCATCACCGGTGAAAGTGAGGAGGGTGTGGCAAGACTAAATCATAGGTTTTGCCGTTGTGTAGGATCAAATATGAGGGTGGCAAGTTGTGATGTTTGTGGGTAGAGAGAGTTTCAAGTTACTTCTTGGGAGTAAAACCTTCTTATGAGTGATGCTGATGATAGTTTTTGAAAGAGAAATGTTATTGAAATTTAATTTATTATAGTTCTTGGGTTGATCGTGGGACCATTAAATATTAAAATTTAATATTAATTCAATAGTTATAATGAAGTTATATTATTAAATCAACAAATTAAATTAGATTTTTAAATTGCAATAACATTATTCTTTTTGACATTCTGTGTGTGTTTGGTAAATTCAGTGTTGTTCGTTACTTTTATGTGAGACCTATGCATTACGACGACTAAAATTTAGGAGTTCACCATGTTATTATTAGAATGTGAGGGGGCTACAATGTTATTTGACCAAAGCTAAGAGACCGAGAAAAATTACTCTAAAAGTTTGGGTGAATGACATTTTGTAGTTTGTACGTTAAAATATTTTTAGATTTTTAGTTCACTCTCAAATTACAACCCATTCACATAAAAATGTGGCAATTTGGTTAGTTTTAATGCAATTAAGTATGGAATAATCATATAAACTGGTTAAAATTGAGTGGTATGAAAATAATTAAGTATAAAAGTAAAAAATATATACAGACTGCAACACAAAAAAATTATCAAATAAAGCAATAGATTTATGCAATACAAAAAAAATTATCTTTTAAACTGTCAACTACGGACTTCCTTATCCTGATGGTTGGAATCTCAAATTGTGGTATTACAAGGATTTGGTTAGAGATTATATATTGATAATTTGATAATGAACTATAACATTGACCTGAAGACTCATGTCTCTATTTTTTTCACTTCCCGGGTATATTTGCTACATGCTATTGATACAAATTTAAAGATACTTGAACTCTATATATCTTGAGTATGCAAGGAGGAGGAAAGACACAAATCATGTCACTGAGCTAGTTCTTTTACTTGAGTTCTCGCAGTTATTACAATAGTATCAGTTATTAATCCTCATGCTGTGAAGGCCAAATTAAGTTAATTTTTAATTTATAAAAAAAAGTATGAGCATTGATTTAATTAAGTAATAATAAAATCTTATACATAAATTTTAGCGTTAAATTATTTATTCAAAGTTTATATGGGTCAACATGAATATAAACACGAACCCAATACAAAAATAAACAGGTCAACTGTCACGACATGATTAATTAAAAATGTTAGGTTAGAGGTTTTTTTTTTTAAATTAAAAAAAAAGGATACGAACTCACAATAACAAGACGCGAGCCTGACATGACACAATTGCCACTTGGGTTTTTGACTATTATGCGTTTGGGATACTAATTTGAATAATTAGTATTTTGTATAAATAATTGAACAACATAGAGGATCTAGGGCGTTATTAGAGCAACTCCAAGGGTCTCAATAAAATGTCTTTCTTAACTATTTTACAGAGGCAGTTCTTAAATCTTGTCTCCAATGAACTAGCTATCACATTAGTTATTTCCCATAACGTTTATTTGGCTGACTATTCCTGGCGAGACAAAGAAGATTGCTATTGTGTTTTGCGCCAACAACAACCCCCAATTTCAGTCTCCTTGGTTGGTTGTTTTCCTCAACTAGACAGAGGGTATTTCACAAAGGCTCCACTAACTGAATTTGTGAAATTAGAAGACTTCATCACAGAGGCTCAGTTCATAGAAGGCTTCATCGTCTGAATCAAATCGTCAACTCCACATAAGCTCAGTCCACAGAAGGCTTCATCATCACTGAAGCTTCATTCCGTAGAAGCAGGTATGGTCTCTCTCTCTCACACACACACACATAAACTCTGTATTTAAGCCAAGAAAAATGGGGAAGATGATTAGTTGACGATTAAAATCCAATAGAAACCCCTAAAATTCTAGTAAAATCCTTCCAAAAATTCAGTAAAACCCCTAAAAAAATCCAATAAAACCTCTAAAACATTCAGTAAAATCCTCAAAAAATCCAGCAAAACCCCCTAAATTTGAGGCGTGTATCTCTGGTTGCTTTTTTTTTTTCATAGCTTGATTTTTTTCTTCATGGGCTTGTTTCAGCAACCATACTCCTTTATTGGACTAGCAACTATGGCAATCTCAACTTCAAACTTCGTGTTCAAATTTCTAGAAAATCAATTTGTTCAAATTTCTAGCAAATAACCAGTCATATAGATGCATTCTTGATCATATGATTTGTCCCAATCTTACTTGGATCTTGATCGGTAATGATAAATTGAGTTTAAATGGCTTGGGTGACGTGGCATAACACGTCAGCATGTGATATTATCAATATGGTGATGACATGACATACTACATAGTATTTTAAATTTTAATAATTAATAGTTAGTTAAAGTTAGTTGAAGTGATTAGCTAAAATAGATAGTGTGGTTGGAGTGAATTTGAAAAAGTGGTTAGTTAAAGTAGATAATATAATATTTAATATATTTTGAGTAGTTATTTTAGATAACATTGTTGAAGTTGTTCTTAATGCAGAAACATCCTTTGTGCATAGCCCTATGAATGAATAAGAGATTAATTTGCATTTGAGTAATATTCATTGAATATGAATTATTTTTTGATTGCTTATTTAAATTTGAATTCGTAATATAAAATTACACAAATTTGTAGTTTGTTGGATCAATATCTTGTGCTCTAATTAGATTTATGCGTGTGTGCATACGTATGTTAAACTAAGTTATAAAATTAATTTAAGTTAAAATTCTTATGTAATTTTAAAACTCAGTTTTAATTTCGTTATTGATATAGGGTTTTTGTATCATATTTTTGTTTCTAATAGATTCAAATATGTGCTATAAAAAAATAAAGTCCGTCAATATTATAGATTAGAGTTATTAAATCCTGAATCAAAGTTCAATCCAAATCCAATTTACTGGCATGCTTATTGTATAAATGAATGGAAAAATAATAATATTTTGGAAGCCATGAACACCATGGCTTTGGCAGCCGTTGAAACTTGAAACTATGCTCAGATAATTAGGTCCAAGTATAATTATTTTTTATATTCTACAAAGGATAAATTATTTCGTTTCTCCCGTTGCACACTTGCACCTTCAATTATGGTTGTTTCTTTCACACTACGCTAGTCATGGATATTGGAAACATGTACTTTATTATATATATATTTTTTCTATCTTGTAAATGCTTTTTGAAATATTGAATAAAGTGCTATTTTCTTAATATATGTATATATACATATTTGGACAATTTCCATTCAAGCACATGACAATCACTTGGTTGTGGGAGGGGCGGACCTAAATAAAATTTCTAAAAAAAAAAGCTGAATCTTGCCCCCACATAAAATTTTAAAAGTATAGGATTAATTAGTATAATTTTGAAACCATCAAAACATCACTTTGGCAACCTTATTTTTCATGCCTTCGTCTTTGACACCTAGTCCATGCCTTTCTTCATGACTTCACCAGCCCTCTCTTGCTCTCTTCTTTCTTTCTTTTTTTTTTTTTTGTTGGTATATTTGAATTAAAAGATGATCTCATTGGTTGTGTATCAATCTCATTGAAAAAATTATCATCCTTGAAAATTGGATGGTAAATGCGATATAAAGAAGTTTAATCTGATGAACGTGATTTATTCAAATACTTTTGAATCTTGGTATTTGTGGATATTTTTATCATAAGTTTTTACTTTTGGCATTTCTTATATATTGTTTGTCTATATGGTTTGTGGGACCAAACAGTTTTTTAAGTGAAAAAACTGAATTTTTGGTCGACTTTGAGCCTAAATTAAAGTAGGACTTATTCGTTGTTTCAAATAAAATTTCATGGGTTCATATTCTACTTAGTGAGGAAAATAATATAATATATTCACTTGCTCAAATCGAGTAAGAAATGAATGAGAAAATAAGCTTCAAAGTGGCCTTTTGTAATGTGGAAATAAAGTTTGTGTAACTTGGGATTTGACACCAATCCCACATTGATTGAGAAGAAATTCAACATGGACATATATAGGTTAAATTTGCTTTATGGGATAGAGCCCCAAGGGGTACCACAGTTTTATGAGTGGGGCGACTGCCCATATGCCTTTGGTTCGACCACAGGCGCATGCGCCGCCCGACCTGACCCGACCAGACTCGGGTGTGGTTGTGGTTGTGGTTGTGACCAAACCCTATCTTTTGGGAGAAAATTCATTTAATTAATTGGACATGAATTTTTTAACCCGAAATTTATTTTCGATATCCATTGGATCGCACTGGGCCAGATATTTGGTTCTTCCCAGTTCGAAAATTTGGATTGTGTCTGTTCATACAGAACAATTAAACAGTGATGTCTACTGGTTTGCATTTGTCTTCCTGGGTTGTGTCTTTTAGTGTGGTGACTGTCCGAAAAGTCACCATAGGTGTCTATAAATACCAGGTTCATTAGCATTCTGATTATTCATTACATTTGTCAGTCATATACAAAGTTGAGTCAGACATTAATGCATAGCATTTTCGCCAATAAAGGAGTTTGCATTTGGAGAATATACAACACAATTTTGGTTTGTTGGACAAGTAGATTGGAGTGTTACTTATGCTCGTGTAAAGATCATTATATCTTGGGAGACAGACACTAGGTATTCCATAAGTACAGTGTGTGGGGGCGAAATCTGTCTTAAGGGCATAGTATCAAACACTAGCTTTGATCTAAATCAAGTTCAACATAGTTCTCGTTCTACAATCGGGTTAGTATTTAAATTAATGTGACAAAGAGTTACGTGTATCTCTTTCGTGTAACTCTTTCGTTTCTATATAACTCTTTATTGTTACTATTTTGTTAAACTGTTGTAACAATTTCGTTTCTGTGTAATTATTTACTGTAACTGTTTTGTTAAAGTAACTTGTTTTCGTGTAACTCTTTACTATTACTGTTTTGTTATAATTTACATGGTTCAAATCAGAAATTTTCATAAGTGATTTTACAATATTCGGAATCATACAACCAACATGGTTTTCGTCTCTAATTGTTGTTCTTTTAATGAAATTTGACCTATAAAATTATATTTAGTTACAGTTGTATGTGTATCAATCAAAATAATAAACTACTATTTCCACGGAGAATACTGTATATTTATACCCAGAACACATTAATGTGTACTTAAAAGCAACTTGTACCACTTCCAATCCACATTATTTGTACAGATAAGTGGCAAATCTGTGAACAGAATCCCTGCAACTGTGAAGTGGTTGCTTCTAAAAATGCATTTGTCTTGCTTTTAATCCATTGCTTGAGCACGTTAATGTGCGGTGGCCACCAAGTTGCTCAGGCTGAAAGAATGGCCTCGAGTCAATTCACAGAACCTTTATTTATCTAACAGATCCAAGGCAAACATGAGTCCTCCTATATTCACTTCTGCTTCAGCTAAAAGATCGTGCTTAAATGAGAAACAAAATCAAAGAAAGAAACACGTTTAGACCATTGCTTTGGCTAATTATTTTAACAAAGTGAAACTTGCAAGATAGGAAAATCATATTAGACTCCAAAAAAGGCCTTAACAGAAATACATGCATTCATCCAGCTATTAGGGAAGGGACTACCCTGCTTTGTCATGCCCTCATGATTCAATCGAACAAATATAAAGGGGTGTCCAAGTTTGATAAAGTTCAGATTCTAAGACAGTACTAGCCCCATTGAGATACTTAGAATGAGAGACAAACTTCAAGAATTACATACCTAGCATGCGAACTATAAAGTAACATGGATGGCAAAACTTTCTAAGACTATTTAGAAAAATTACTTGATCCCCTTTATAATGGTGGGGCCTAGACCATCAAGTCCTCATGTCTCAAAATATTTTTATGTTTCTTTTTCTGTCAAACTTAACCAAACTAAATGTCTCAGAGCTTACTCAATGATCAAGGATTAGAGAAACAACTGGCAGTACGCACTATAATGCCTTATACTTAGGTTTTGCTGAAATTGAACAACATATAGAGGAGCATACTTTAACTAGCCACTCAAACTGCAGGCGGATAAAAATAGAAACCCAAGAAGAAAACCAAAAAGAAATCCCTTCTTATATGCAAAGATGTATGAATCTTTTTCAAAATCCCTACCCACGAAGATTCACTAATGCTTGTACCTGAATATACAACAAGAGAATTATAACATGACTGAAATTCGTGGAGAATTATAGAACAAATATTGCGGAAGAATTATAACATGACTGAAACTTCTAAAAATGCATTCCGTCTTCCTACCCGATATTTTGCGAAAGAATTTTTTCTTGGCCTACCCTACCCGATCAGGTGTAGTATTCTTACCCGACTTCCTTCCTAATTAATCAGGTAAGAAGTCGGATAAACACTTTTGTAGCTATTAATTTTTGGATCGTTTTAACAATTCAATTAAATAACATGCACCAATTTAACAACACAATAAATCAATAACTCTATAATCTAAAACAACTACAACAACAATTACAATAAAACATAAGAAAGCATGAACATCAATTCATCATAATTATTACACAAATACAATAACAATTATTTTAAATTTAAACCATATGAAACACATTAAAATCATAACTGCTCCAATAGATCACCAGTTTACCATAAATCATGTAACCTACATAAAAAACAAGTCCATATTTTCGCAACTCAAACATCCACAATAATAATAATGTTATCATATAAATTATACCACACAAATACTCTTATAATTACTAAAAAAAATATAAAAAAGTTAAATATATTTTTTGCAGATAGGGTAGGGTAGGAATACGGAAATTGATGGGTATTCCGTATTCCTACCCGATTTAATCAAAAGATCAAAAACTCTTATGCATTTCTACTTGATTTTTGCGGCTAGCCATTCAGTAGGGTAGAGTAGAGTTAAGTAGGGTAGGAAATTGCGGTCAATTGAAAATTTGAACACCCTTAGTCCACCAGAAAAACCAATCAAGTTGAAGTTAGAATTGCACAAAGCTGAAACCGTAAAAAGAATATTTTCTATCCAAAATTGCAGGCAGCACTTGCTGAAATCCTTTAGGATTGGTTGGCAGCCAATGAGTAACAAACTACATAGAGCCAAACTAAATTGTACATGCTTCAAATCAATGTCTAGTAATTGTCCCTACTGTGTACCAAAGACAAATATTCACAGTTACTGGTAATCTAACTCTAGTAATCATAAATCCTAATATCCACAATTAGCCAAATTTTGGACACCAGATGGGTTCGGCAGTAACATGGAAATCACACTCTCTTGTACAACCTCTTCCTAATCACCATTCGGCGGCTCTTCCTAATCACCATGCAACAGTTCAACAAGGAATTCCCTAGCGATACCGTCCCAATTTGTATTATCCAGCATAAATAGATCAGTGTAATCCCATGTTTCCAGAGCAAGCAAGCAGCATTCTTCTAATATTGGAGACTCTACTGCACAAGGCATGATGCTACTTTGTATTTGTCATTCAAATCCGATTCTTCCACCACAATATTAAAGCACCAGCACCTGATTCAAGTGCTATTGATGCATCTGTGATGGATCCACATTGTGCAACTGGTGTTGTCCCCATGTTATTATTATAGTTCATGTATTCCTCATACTGATATCCTTCAAGTTGGGCCACCGAAAGGCTTGGCTCATTATTGATTGCCTGGGGAATAACTTCACTATTATCTTCTGCTAAGGCAGCCATGATACTATTTGGCGCTTGAAATTCTGCAGACCCGTCTCTTCCAGAATATAATGCACCAAATTCTGGGGCCACTGCCCTGCTCATGTGTTGTTGATATGGAAATCCTTCAAATTGGGGAATAGGGACACCTAATGCAATCTGCTCGTATGGTAGCAACGGAGCAGCTTCATAATGATAATGATCTTCTGCTAACATGGCAAACAAGTCACCCTCTATTAGTTCTTGAAAGTTGTCCTGTGACTGTGAGTGATTCGTTTGTGGTGGTTTCTTCTTCTTAATGCCGCAAAGAACATAGTCTTTGAAGAAAACTCTTCCACTGTTCAATGTAGAGGCGGGAAGGCTATACTCAGTCATGTTGTATCCGAGTTTGGCCCTGGTCTTTGTGATCTCGTAAGCAAAGTTTCTCTTCCATCTGATTATAGTATTCTTCTTTTGTGGATCTAATACAGGACTCGCCTTATCGGAACCCATCCACGTACACTTCCCGATTGCCACCGTGCGTTTAATCTGCTGGCTACTCATCTTCTTTAACTTTGTAAACACATAAACAACTCTATCTTCTGATCCTATTTGAAATAAACTCATCGACTCAATGTCACCATACACATCACACTCGTTCATGACACTTTGAAATGGCAATCGACGCCCTAATACCTTCAAGAAAAGATAAAGCATCAAGTCTTTCTCTAAAGGGTGGAAACAATAATTGATCCACATATTTTCCATCCCTAGATTACTATAAACTAAGGCCACAACACAAACAAAATAAATCGAAACGGAATAGAAAAATAAAACACACAAATTTAGATGGTTCGACTTAGCAAGAAAGTCTATATTCACGAAATATAGTGGCAAGATTTTCACAAAGTTGTTACCCAATGAAGACACTTAGTCCATCTATATATAATTCATGAACTATAGAATTTGATTCCAACATAAATACATAGTGTCAATCAACTTCATCCCATACCGCCAAAGTAACAGGATATTCCAAGAAGATTCAGTTGGAGCCTCACAAAGTAAACATGCAGATCAAGTATCAACAGGAAGTGGCCTTTGAGGTGCACAACATCTTTAAATAATCTCCAAACAAAAATTTTAATTTTATTGGGGATTCTCAGAGACCAATGAAATTGTCACATTATCTCTCATTGCCATTACTAGGTATGCTATCTACTTGTTTACCGCCATGAAGATCACGATCAAAATCAAATGGTAAGCACTATTGACTGATAAATGGCCAGAATTTGAGTGAGGATGCTTCACTAGTCGCCAAAATTGTTTAGCCAACATAGCAAGATTAAAAGCCCCTAAATCTCTAAACCCCATACCCCCATAGTAATTAGCAACCATACTATTGATATCCACACATAGAGAAGAAGGCAACTGAAAACATGACATCACATATGTAGGAATAGTCTGCACCACCGCCTTAATAAGATTCTCTTTTCCAGCAGTAGATAACAAATTTTCCATCCATCCTTGAATCTTATTAAGGACCAAAAGTTAAACAGATCTATTTTGTAAGTATTACGAGTAATTCTTACAAAGGATCGAACCAATGACTAGAGACAGAAATATAGAAGTGTATAGGGTGTGGTTCATTACAAGAAATTGGATATTTAGTTGCAGAAATTATTGTGGCTAAATGTATAAAAATTGCCACTATATGTACTAGTGAGCATGACAATATTTGCTCTGGCTATATAATTTACCTATGACATTTCAATATTGCCACTGAAAGTAAAATTTTTAGCTGCAATACAAAAATGTCACTAAATATGAAACATTTAGTTGCAATAATTATTGTAGTTATTTAAGATAATTTTGCCACCAAAATATATCAGGTCGCCACTAAAAGTATGACAAAAATTTGACTTTTTGTGACAACAATTAGTCGTGGCTAGTTATGCATCACACGTTGCTAGTTTGCAAACATAAAAAATAAAAAATAATTAGGTTAATGTTCAAAATTTAATAGCCGTAAGTAATCTAATATGATAATTCAGTCAACAACATTATAATGAATATGCAAGTTAATAATAATATCCTGAGTCAAATATGGATTCACATATAACAAGCACAAAACTTTCCAAGGTCACTGACTTAATGTTAAGACTCCTTGTTTTTATCCAAGAAGAGAGGAATTTGAAAAACATAAAACTAATTATGCATTTTAGATTTAATGCAACTAAAAGAAGTGCCAATGGAATACTATCTATATATTTATTAATGTCATTTATACAATAAAGTAATTAGATAGTTTGTCTTTAACTTTTCGCGGCTCAGATCGTTTGAGGATTATTAATCCAATGATCCTAATTGGATGTTGATATCTTTTACAACTCTAAAGACTCTCATCTCTCATATAACTCTCTCTCCCTCTTTATCTTAGACACCCAACTCTCATACGTATACAACTCTTTCTCTCTCAGACATTTTAAACATTCTCCCATTTCTCATATAATTCTCTCTTTATCTCATATCTATTTTAAACACACACTCTTCCATCTTTCATACTCTCTCTTTTAACATTGTTTGTCTTGACGATCCTAAATGGACTTCTTTACTCAAAAATATTCAAAGTCAAACTAATCATCAATAAAAAAGTAATAAGTGATACCAATTGCACCAAAAAAAAAAAAAACAGAGTCAAGTTAATCACCAATAAAAAAATAATAAGTGATACCAATTGTACTACAAAAAAACTAAAAAACTCAAAGTCAAGCTAATTACCAATAAAAAAAAAGTGAATCTAATTGCAAAAAAAAAAAAAAAAACAATATTCAAAACCAACTATAATATTTTTTTTCCTTATTTGCATCACTTTCTCCATGCTAATGTTCATATTTTTTTGAATACTTGAATAGTGCGAAATAGACACCGAAACGACAAAAAGTCAGTTAAAGCAATTTTTTTTGAAGTAGTGAAATTTTGATTTTGTTGATTTGGTTTAATTGCAACGTGAGAATATTTCTATAGAATCCTAGAAGTCACAATGACAAAGAATTTAAATCAATTGTTCTTGTAGCTATAAATAGATCCGTTAGGTAATGTTAGTTCAGTCAGGTTTTTTTTTTTTTTTTTTTTGAAAATTTGATTTGTAATTCAATATGGTTAATTTGTTTGATTGGATCAGTGATTTAATTGTGTGTTCTTAATGATATTTCTTATTGAAACTAGATAGCCTATTCATTAGATTTAGTTAAATGTTGAAAAAATGAACACTCATTTGGTGGAAAGAAGAGCCGTCATGAAGAAATTTATGACATTATAATTTTGTAATGGTGTTAGCTTAAGTTTATGGAGATTCTCAGATTGTATTAATATGATATAATTTTTCTTCATTTCAACTCTTAGACTTATTTTATTTAAGACATTATTAGATGCCTCATTAGCTTGACAAATTTTTTATCTTAAAAATACCTTCAGACACGAATAATGACTAATTTCCGCATTTGAGTGAACATAAAAACAAAAAATTTAAAAGTTGATAGCAACCATATGGTTTGGAATTTTGAAACCACGAGACCTATCAATGAGAAAGTCAACTGAAATATGTTACTGCTTATATCAAGTCCCTTTAGGGAATAACAAATCTAAACCTCAAACTTTTTTTGCAAAGATGAAACTATTCATATTCCTAATTTTCGTCCACACTGGAATGTATATGACCTTTTCCTAGTATTTGAGGGTATTTCATTGCTATTGCCACGTTTGATTGTTAACTAAGGGCATGTTTGGACGACAACGTTAAAATGAGTTAGAAATTTTAAAAAATATTATTTTTTATTTAACTCAAACTTACGTATCATTTGACTAGTTAGGATTTAATGATTATATCCTATCATTTCCAATGTTTATGTACTTCTGTGAGACCTATGGAGAAGGGTAATGAAATATGATATCATTAATTGTTTTGGCCCTAACCTATCTAGTCCAATACCATGTTTGGTTTATAAATTAGCCTTTAACCACCTCTAAATAAAATTTTCTTACATATAATTTTTAAAAATATTGTAATTTCATATTCTCTAGATGAGTGTTCATATGTTATGAGGACTATTGAGTATTATCTCAAGCTTTCATTAATTAGTTATTAATTAATAATAGTCCAAATAAGATATTATTTTCTGAAATTTTACTGACACCCTTTGTCACTGTTTGTTGGGTAATGAAAGTAATATAAATGTCTATTTTATCAATTTATCCCTAACTATTCTACAAATTTTCATATTAACTATCCTATTAAATTATACACACACACACACTATTAATGCACTACGTACGTTGCACGTGACATATTTGAATAATAATATTTTTAATAAAAAGTTTAAATTATACTTATAAATAAATTAAATAATAAAGTACGTGTCAAATAATTAATTTTTATTTTAATTATTATTAAATCTAATTATTGATCTATTTTACCTTTTTTTTTGAATATTTAATCTGTCATTTTTTAGTTATTTCTCTTGCTTGTTTGGACATTTTTTTTTGTTTATAATGAGTTGTAATATTGTTGTTTTTTTGTATTTGCACATCTAATTATATTATAAATTTATTATATTTTTTATTAATAGTGGGACAATGTAAAAGCAATTTAAATAGTTGAGGAAAGAAGGTAAGAAGTTCAATAATTAAGGGGCTAACTGAGATCAAAACCATAATTAAAGGGTTATAATATACTTTACCTTAATATCAACTACCAAGAAGAAAAGAAACTTCATTGAAAAGAAAATTTTATTATTGGTTATTAATTTTAAAAAATTTTGGTATGAATTTTGTTAACCATATAATTTGGCCAAAAGACATTTGATGTTTGTCCCAAAATTATGTTAGCAACCATTTTTTTTAAATATTTACTTTTAATTATAATATTTTTTTTTATTTAGGCCTATTTATTATAATTAAGGGTAATTTAGACAATTAAATTTTTTTTATTGTAACTTTCTTTTATTTCAAACAATAGAATGAATTTTTTTTTTTTTAAATTTTCTTGCCAGTTTTTCATACTAACAAAATAAAAAATATATTTTCTTTCATTTTTTTTTACTTTTTTTTCTATCATTCTTTTTTTGTTTTACCAAACGGATCTTAATGGAATGCAAGAAAACAAGAGGACAATTGGTTCTTCCCTTATTTTACAAAATCGATCCGTGTGATGTGAGGAAGCAAAATGGAAGCCATGCGAAACCTTTAGCTAGACACGAGAAACGCTTGATGATCGAGATGGAGAAGGTTCAATGGGTATTTTATTCATGCTGACTTTTTCCTATCTGCAATTAATAGTAGTATGCTTGCAAGATTTCAGTGTCGAAATTTGATTCTCTTTCATCCGAGGATCAAAAACAAATTGAAAATGGTGATTGAATTGATATTTTGAGGTGTTTTAGAGTATTTCAAAATGTTTTCGTGTGTATTTTTTTGAAAATTTTAAAAATAAATTATCAAACAAAAATCTCATTTTATCTTTTAAAAAGATACAAAAAATTTTAATTTGTCCCGGGTATTATTAATTTTTACACATTATACGATAGACTAAATTATAATATTTTTATTTTTTTGAGTGGATAATACAAAAAAGTGAATCATTTAGAAGACAAATCGATAATTTTTGTATATGGTAAAATAGAATTTACCCAAATTCCCAAATACTTTTTAAAAGTGTATGCAAGTCCTACAAAAAAATTTCTTTTATAACTAGAAACGCATTTGTAACTGGCCAAACCAGATTTGTTATGCTAATTTATCAAATTAGCCCCCAAATTATTGGATTTCCTATCATAATTGACCGTACCAACACAACCCTTCCTCCCATTTGGACAGTCTGCCCAGAGAGGAGGAGGAGAGATTCGAAGCCAATAATGTGCATAGGAGCCAACGATTGTCTCCACAAAACCTCACCCCTATCGCATTGAGCAGACCTGGGTATCTCATATTTATCAAAGGTACGTATCTATTATGTTTTTTTCTCTTAAGGTGTTTGCGATGGCAGTCGCAGGTGGAGGGTTCAACAAGATTTTGGTAGTTCCAAGGGCCACGATTAGCGGCGGGTTGGTGAAGGTGTTAGGGGGCATCAGTTCTGACTATGGGTTGGAGTCGGTGTATCGACTTTTGGCTGGTGGTAGGAAAGCTTCATACTTGTAGGACTTTCCCGTGTAGGAGAATTCGAACTTTTTTGGTTAACC